TGGGCCCTGGTAAGGAGGTGCTGATTGACTCCACAGAAGGAAGAAACTTTTATGGTCTTGATGGCTATTTGGTGAAAACCTTTAGTGTCTTGAGTAAATCATATGTATTGGTTTAAATGCCATTCTAGAAATTGAAAAGAATTTTAAAACAGTACTTGCTAGTGGTAAGATGAAGAAAAAAGAAAATGTAAGTATTTAGAAATGCCATTTTTTCTTCCAGATTTTGGTGATTTTTTTAAGATCTACATTAAGATTTTATATGATGAAATGTGCTAAGTCCCAGAGAGAGGCTCTATAATAGTGGGTTCTCTCCCTGCCGTTGAGGGTGTGTGTGTAGCCACACCATGTTGTAGTGGACACGGCACCAGGCCACAGGACAACACTGGACTTGACCCACGTGGCCTGAGTTCTCTGGAGGCCATCTGACGTTAGACACAGAGTCCACGTCTGTAACAAGAAGGATATAGGATAAGAACTCTCTAAGATCTTTTACATTTTCCTAAGCTAAGTGCCGTAAATTTAAATAAATCCCCGCCCCCTTGCTTTTCTATGTATGAGAATGTGCTTCTGTTCTAAAGGTGATCCATTGTACTTTGTGAATTAAGTGGCCGGGCAGTTAGGAGAGTTATAGTTTTAGGGTCCTTCCTATGAGTCAGAAGAAATTGTTGGGACAAGGGTTAAACGATTGGCTCCTTTTCTTGAGGCAAAAGTACCATGTTTTCATCATTCACATTTGGTTTTCATGAGCATTAGCATAGGGGCCTTCTCCTTTAAGTTTGTATCATTGTTTTCGTTATGTGTTTCTCGTGATATTTTCCCCCTCTTGCTTTGATTGCTGAATATTTTCATTTTCTTATGTGATTATTTTGGGCTTTCTTACTTTTCAATCTGCTTTCCAAGGTATTAAGTTACCAAAGGATTTTCATTTTACATCTCTGCTGTGTTACTTTGATTCAATAAAAGAGGCTTTTATTTAAACTTGATCTAATTTTGTTTTGATTCTTGAATAGTATTATTTGAAATTATCTTTATTGCCTTTTGGTATCAGATTAGGTTAACTTATTTTCATTTGACACACGGTTCCGTGAATGGCAATACTCCTGATGGTTCTTGCTTTTTCACTGAGAGGTTTTCTTTGATCTTTGTGTTTGTCTTCAGTTCACTTGCCTGCAACATCTATTTGCCTTCTGGTACTACTTTGTGTTTCTTCGGTTGCCCCAAACTCACAGTGGTCTGTGTTGCTAGTATTTGTATGTGTTTGCAATCTTGCCCAGTGTTTATCCTT